GACGTTGCCATTTTGACGGCAGTCCACGTCGTTAAATGTACGTTAGTTGACGTCGTTGTATGTACGTTAGTTGACATCGCCATTTTGACGTTAGTCGAACGTTAGGTGACGTCATCGTATTGACTTTAGTCGATGTCGCCATTTTGACGTAAGTCGACGTTGCCATTTTGACGTTAGTCGACGTCGTTATATGTACGTAAGTTGACGTCACCATTTTGACGTTAGTCGACGTCGCCATATTGACGTAAATCTACGTCGCCATTTTGACGCAGGTCGACGTCGAACGTTAATTGACGTCACCATATTGACGTCAGTGGACATCGTCATATTGACGTTAGCAGACGTCGACATTTTGACGTTAGTCGACGTCGCCATTTGTACGTTAGGTGACGTCACCACTTTGATGTTAGATAACATCGTCATTTTGACGTTAATTGACGTCGATATTGTGACGTAAGATGACGTTGCCATTTTGACGTTAGATGGCGTCACCATATTTACGTTAGTCGACGTCGCCTTTTTGACGTTAGTCGACTTTGCTATATGTACATTAAGCGACGTCACCATTTTAACGTTAGTTAAAGGTCGCCATTTATAAGTGAGGTTGCCATTTTGACGTTAGTCGAGGTCGCTATATTGATGTTAATCAACGTCGCCTTTTTGACGTTAGTCGACGTTGCTATATGTACGTTAAGCGACGTCACCATTTTAACGTTAGTTAAAGGTCGTCATTTATTCGGTAAGTGGGATCGCCATTTTGACGTTAGTCGACGTCGCTATATGTACACAAGTTAACGTCGTCATATTGACGTTAATAGACGTCGACATTTTGACGCAAGTCGACGCCGAACGTTAGATGACGTCACCATTTTGACGTTAGTCGACGTCGTTTTATGCATGTTAGGTGACGTCGCCATTGTGACGTTAGATAGCGTCGCCATTGTGAAGTAACTGACGTCACCATTTTGACGTTAGTCGATGTTGTTATAGGTACGTTAGTTAACGTCGCCATATTGATGTTAATCGACGTAGCCATTTTGACGCAGGTCGACGTCGAACGTTAGGTGACTTTGCCATTTGGCGTTAATCGACGTCGCTGTATGTACATAAGTTAACGTCACAATATTGATGTTAATCGAAATCGCCAATTTGACGCAAGTCGCAATTTTTACGTTAGTTTACTTTGCAATTTTGACGTTAGGTTACATGGCAATTTTGACGTAAGAGAACGTAGCCATATTGACGTAAGTCGACGTCGCGATATTGACGGTAGTCGACGTTCCTATATGTACAGACGACGTCACCATTTTGACGTTAGTTTAAGGTCGCAATTTATGCGGTAAGTGGCGTCACCATATTGACGTTAGTCGCCTTCGCCTTTTTGACGTTAGTCGATGTTGCTATTTGTACGTTAAGCGACGTCACCATTTTAACGTTAGTTGAAGGTCGTCATTTATACGGTAGGTGACGTCGCAATTTTGACGTTAGTGGACGTCGCCATTTTGACGTTAATCGACCTCGCTATTTCGACGTTAGTTGACGTCACCATATTGACGTTAGTCGACGTCGTTCTATTGACTTTAATTGGCATCGCCATTTTGACATTAGTCACCATTTTGATGTTAGTCGTCATTTTGACGTTCTTTGACGTCGCTATTGTGACGTAGGATGACGTTGCCATTTTGACGTTAGATGACGTCGCCATATTGACGTTAGTTGACGTCACCATATTGACGTTAGTCGACGTCGTCCTATTGACGTAAAGCGGCGTCGCTATTTTGACGTTTGTCGACTTCGCTATTTGTACTTTAGGTGACGTCGTCATTTTGACGTTAGTTGACGTCGCTATTGTGACGTAAGATGACGTTGCCAATTTGACGTTAGATGACGTCACCATATTGACGTTAGTCGACGTCGCCTTTATGACGTTAATCGACGTTGCTATATGTACGTTAAGCGATGTCACCAATTTAACTCTAGGTGAAGGTCGCCATTTATACAGTTGCTATATGTACGTTAAGCGACTTCACCATTTTAACGTTAGTTGAAGGTCGCCATTTCTGCGGTAAATGACGTCGCTATTTTGACGCTAGTCGACGTTGCCATTTTGACGGTAGTCGACGTTGTTATATGTACGTTAGTCGACGTTGTTATATGTACGTTAGTTGACGTCGCCATTTTGACGTTGGTTGAAGGTGCTATTTATGCGGTAAGTGATATCACTATTTTGACGTTAGTCGACGTCGTTATAGGTATGTTAGTTAACGTCGCAATATTGACGTTAATCGAAGCCATTTTGACGCAGGTCGACGTCGAACATTAGTTGACATCGCTATATTGACGTTAGTTGACGTCACCATATTGACGTTAGTGGACGTCGTCATATTGACGTTAGTGGACGTCGCCGTTTTGACGTTAGTCGACGCTGCTATATGTACGTTAAACGACGTCACCATTTTAACGTTAGTTTAAGGTCGCCATTTATACGGTAGGTGACGTCGCCATTTTGACGTTAGTCGATGTCGCTATATTGACGTCGCCATTGTGACGTTAGTCGACGTCGATATATGTACGTTAGTTGACGTCTCCATTTTCACGAAAAATGACGTCGCCGTTTTGTAGTTAGTCGACGTTGTTATATGTACGTTACTTGACGTCGTTATATGTATGTTAGGTGACGTCGCCATTTTGACGTTAGTCGTACGTTATGTGACGTCATCATATTGACTTTAGTCACGTTGCCATTTTGACTTTAGTCGACGTTGCCATTTTGACGTTAGTCGATGTCGTTATATGTACGTAAGTTGACGTCGCCATTTTGACGTTGGTTGAAGGTCGCCATTTATGCGGAAAGTGACGTCACCATTTTGACGTTAGTCGACGTCGCCATACTGACGTTAATCGACGTCGCCATTTTGACGCAGGTCGACGTCGAACGTAAGTGACGTCACTATTGTATCGTTAGATGACGTCACCATATTGACGTTTTGGAAGGTCGCCATTTATGCGGTAAGTGACATCACCATTTTGACGTTAGTCGACGTCGTTATAGGTACATTTGTTAACGTCGCCATATTGACGTTAATCGACGTCGCCATTTTGACGCAGGTCGTCGTCGAACATTAGTTGACATCGCTATATTGACGTTAGTTGACGTCACCATATTACGTAAGTGGACGTCGTCATATTGACGTTAGTCGACGGCGCCTTTTTGACGTTAGTCGACGTTGCTATATGTACGTTAAGCGACGTCACCATTTCAACGTTAGTTAAAGGTCGCCATTTATACGGTAGGTGACGTCGCCATTTTGAACATAGTCGACGTTGTTATATGTACCTTACTTGGCGTCGTTATATGTATGTTGGTGACGTCGCCATTTTGACGTTCGATCGACGTAGCTTCATATACGTTAGTTAACGTTGTCATATTCTACATACTTCAACGTTTATTAAATTAAGTTGACTTCGCCTGTTGACGTTGACGTTAGTTGACGTAGCCATTGTGACATAGTCGGCGTCGCCATTGTGATATAAGTCTATGTCGCCAATTTGATCTTAGTCGACTTCGCCATTGTGACATAAATTGATGTCGCCATTTTGACGTTAGGTGACGTCGCCATTTTGACTCTAGTTGACGTCGCCATTTCGACGTTGCTATATCAACGTAAGGTAAGTCGACGTCGCCTTATTGACGTTAGTCGACGTCATATTGACGTTAGTCGACGTCATATTGACGTTAGTCGACGTCGTTATTTTGACGTAAGTCGCCAAATTGACGTTTTCAGACGTTTGCGATATATCTTATATCTAACGTTAATATATTGAAGATTACTATCTTTAAAATGGCGACGTCATACGTACATACGCCATATTGACGCGCGTCGACGTCGCCATATTGACGTTAGGTGACTTTGCAAATTAGACATCACGATTTTGACGTAAGTCGACGTCGCCATTTTGACGTAGGTTAACGGCGTACGTTATTTGACGTCGCTATTTTGACTTAGTCGACGTCGCTTTATGTACGCTATAGTGACGTATTACTTTGACCAAATTACCTTGTGACCTTTTTACTGTGACCAAATTACCTAGTGACCTTTTTATTGTGACCAAATTTCTAGTGACCGAATACCCTGTGACCTAATTACCGCCCCCTAAACAGACATTTAGTAGATATAATACACAAATAGAATAATATTCAGCACGTGTTCGGTTCGATGACACCAAATTCCATTTCCAAGTCTTGCGATAACACAATGTCACAATTCAATTATTATCAGAAATATTTAAATAATATACCTGAAGAATTAAACAAACAACTCTAAACTATAATAAAGCTTCCGAACATAAGTACGTCTTTATTTCTGCAAATGGCGGAGGGAAATTACTAGGGAGCGGTTAATAAACATAAACATTTAGGGAGAGGCTTATTGTAACACTTTTACTTGTAAAATGACTGATGATTTTATTCAAACTAGATACTTTTATTAGTCATATATATATAGATATAGGAAAAGAAATTCCTAGTTTGAGATCTTTTTAAGGAATCGTGCAATTTGAGAACTTCTGAAGACGATACATATATTCAAGACTCAAATCCCCCCCCCCCCCCTTTTCCAGAGAAAATCATGAAATAGAAACGACTCATAGTGGAATTGGGATAATTCAATCGATCTTGAAAGGTGTAATATGAACATAATATTTATCCTAATGTTATTTATTTGTTATAAGGTTTAAATTCAGTTATAAAATATAGATTTAGACGTCTACCTTTTTACATTTTATACAGCTAACAATAACAAGTATAGGTGGTTTAATATATTTTAGTTAAAGGGAGATAACTACAATTTATATATTTCTTCTCAAGAGACAAAGTGAAACAATTTTTTAAGAGAAAGTCAAGACAAAGTGCAGTCATTATGTAGTCTTGGTAGTCCAGTCATTTTTTACAATTTGAATTTACTTAACAACTGGATGATAGGGACTGATACAAATCCAGCATGGCGGGCTCCAGTGAAAGGTATTTTGTAAACAACTGTTTTATTTGCTTTTATCAAACTCTGTATGGATATTTTCAAATTAAAGTTTATTATATAAATTTTCTCGATCCTTGTCAATTAGAAAGTGATTTTCTGTCTAGGCCTATTCACTGTGTTTTTGTGCTAGCCTAGCGACCTCATGATTTGATTGACAACATTCATAACTGACTTCGTAAAGTCGTTGTGTTAAAGCAAATTTCCCAATTTTGAATTAATTAAAATATCATATTTAAAAAAGTTGTGATCTTCCAATGCTCATAAAAATAATTAAATATAGGGATCTACCAACGAACTCGGTAGTGACAGGTTGTCAACTTGGTTGTTAGTTTGAATTGAGCTACCTGTCAACCTCCGGTCCCCTGACTTTATTCTTGAATTCTTTCCCCTGTCAGTGATGCAGGTAAGAGGGGCTGACATGGAAAAAGCGTCTGGTCGTTCGGATGGGACAATAAACCGAGACCTCGTGTGCTACAGGCTGTGCACGTTAAAGATCCCTTGACAGTTAGAAATCGAAAAAGAGCAGGCTAATGCTGCTGTCCTGGCAAAATTTCCCTCATTGCACCCTGCATGGCAATGCCCGTCTTCATTAGCCCACATGGTGCAGAAAAATAGGACGTAAAACTCTATTCATTCATTTCATTTCATTTTTTTATTTTTGAATTCAACTCTGATGGTTCTTATCAATAAACAGTATTTATTTTATTCACCTGTTGTTAATTAATTGAAAGGTAATCACTATTGTCTTCCCTTTATAAGTAACTAGCACTCACTATGAGTGATCTTTCTTATTGAAATGTATTCACCTTGTTTTTTTAATCACTGTTATATGTTCTCTTTTTCTTGCATTGCTCTGTCATTTTGTCCCATTGCTGGATAAAGACTAAAAGACTTTGTCCCATTGCAAGTTATTTATTAAAGTAATATTTATCAATATACATCATATAATTGTATCCAGTTATTTCACTGAAGTCAACAACCAAATCAAATTAAAAACACAAACTCAAGAATTGAAAGAAGTATTATTCTTATTGGACTCAGTCTATTGGACAACTCAGATTTAATACCAACTCATGTGCTGAGAGTAAACTGAACAAATACTGAATATTGAATGGACATAGTTTTTTTGTGGAAGAGATTAGGGGGAAGGCACTGATACAGGGTTAAAGTATTGTTTACAACTATTGTAGTGTTATATTTGAGTAAACTAGTGATTTTGAAAGGTAGACCAGTAAATATTTTTATGATTGGATTAGGGTTAATGTTTTTATATTATAAGTGTTTTATAACATATTATTATTTTTCTCTAGTTTCAGTAATAGAGCGTTATGGCAGTTTATAACAGGATCTGGTATATTACGTCCAAGGGTTGGTTGATAACTTTTATAATTCTTACAGTAGAATCTGGATTCTTATTGTTCTATTAAAAACAATCAGAGAATTGTAAGATAAGAGACTATATAATATTTATATTAGATATTTAGATATAAATAAGTCTTCAATTTATAACTGAAAGGCTCGTATGAAATTTGAATGTTGAAAGTCATCAACATTGACTTAAACATAAACACAAGTTTTTGAGAGTTCAAATTTTGTCACTTCCTGGTATATGAATTAATTCTTTTTAAAGATCCAAACATCACCAATATTTTGTATAATTTATCTATTGTGAAATATTTTCACTTCAAAGAGTAAAGTATGTTTTGTATTCTGTTTCAATATTTCTATGATTATTTATGATTATTTATGATTATTTATGATTATTTATGATTATTTATTTATATAAATTAAAGGAGCTGATAACTCTAGAGCTGACCAAGGCCAAGACAAAAATATTAAATGGTTTACTCAACTATCATAAACAGAAGTATGTACAATTTACTGACTTTTCTTCTTATCTTGCTTATCTTAAAACAAATTAAACTGGCTATAAAATTTGATTGGAAGTTAATTAGACATTTGCTTCTAAACTTTTTGGTTTGATTCAAGGAGATATCTTAGGATTTTGAAGAGAATTTTGCCTATTTTAGACAAATATTGTCTCAACTCTGGCATTCTTTCCTTCATTGCACACATAATATTTTCTTCCATCTGGGAAAATAAACCGAGACTCAGTTTCTTACATATAACAAAAACACAAGACAATATTATGCAATATGTGCTCCTCGCTTCTATATGTCGTTCAAATCTTATACAGTTTCTTACAGACTGTGGCCATTAAAGATCCCAGCACATTTGGATATTGTAAATACTGCCCTAACCCTGGCAAAATTTCCTTTGTGAATGGTACTTGTCTGTCCTGATTAGCCTAACCAGGTGCAGTAAAGTTTCCTTTGTGAATGGTACTTGTCTGTCCTGATTAGCCTAAACAGGTGCAGTAAAGTTTCCTTTGTGAATGGTACTTGTCTGTCCTCATTAGCCTAAACAGGTGCAGTAAAGTTTCCTTTGTGAATGGTACTTGTCTTTAGCCTAAACAGGTGCAGTAAAGTTTCCTTTGTGAATGGTACTTGTCTGTCCTCATTAGCCTAAACAGGTGCAGTAAAGTTTCCTTTGTGAATGGTACTTGTCTGTCCTGATTAGCCTAAACAGGTGCAGTAAAGTTTCCTTTGTGAATGGTACTTGTCTGTCCTCATTAGCCTAAACAGGTGCAGTAAAGTTTCCTTTGTGAATGGTACTTGTCTGTCCTGATTAGCCTAAACAGGTGCAGTAAAGTTTCCTTTGTGAATGGTACTTGTCTGTCCTGATTAGCCTAAACAGGTGCAGTAAAGTTTCCTTTGTGAATGGTACTTGTCTGTCCTCATTAGCCTAAACAGGTGCATTAAAGTTTCCTTTGTGAATGGTACTTGTCTGTCCTGATTAGCCTAAACAGGTGCAGTAAAGTTTCCTTTGTGAATGGTACTTGTCTGTCCTGATTAGCCTAAACAGGTGCAGTAAAGTTTCCTTTGTGAATGGTACTTGTCTGTCCTCATTAGCCTAAACAGGTGCATTAAAGTTTCCTTTGTGAATGGTACTTGTCTGTCCTGATTAGCCTAAACAGGTGCATTAAAGTAAAATGTAAGATGTAAAACTCCATGTCATTTCATTTTAAAACTTATTGTAGGACACCAAGTGGAGAGCAGTTAAAAAAAGATAAAAATATCACTGGATTACAGCTAGAATTTACACTGAAACTCAGCAAATTTCTTGTAAGTAAACTTCTTCAATAAATTCACACATTTTCATATTTCAATCAGAGTTCATTTGATAGTCAGCCCCAAGAAAGAGAAAAAAAAGAAAAGAAATAACCATAGGATAATAAATTAGATTAACAATGATCTTGTCTACCATCTGATCCTTTGTAAATTGTAACAGTTACTTAGTTTTATTGGGATTGCAAGAAGCACAGACATCTGACTGAAAATTGGAATGGTACAAGTTGATGCTATTAGTGTCCCTGATATAAAATTGAGAAAACCTTGTTACCATTCGTTTTATTGTAATTTCATCCTACTTTGTTTGATTTCTGATTTATTTTTAACAGGATTTGGATGAAGTTGAAAGTTATTCATTATTTTGTTCCTTTCTGGTCAATGAGTTTCGTGGTTCCAAGAAAAATCTACAGGTTAGTTATAAAACTAGGATTAATTTGATGGTTTGTACAAGGTTTAGAAGATATTGGATATTGTGATTTAAGTGTTTTCTTTACTAACTAATGGAACTCAACTTCAGCTCACTGTGGAATATTTTTTTTTTAACAATATTTTTTAAATATATTTCAGCTCACTGTAATTTTGATATAATATATTTTTATGATGATATATTTCAGCTCACTGTGTAATTTTGATATAATATATTTTTATGATGATATATTTCAGCAATTATTAAGTCAAGATCGTCATGTCCAAGGTTTGATATTAAAGATAAGAGATTATTATTATACAGAAAGATTGTATGGGTTGAGATGTCTACATCATATATTTAATTACTGGCCTGTAGCTGAACATCCTTATAGAGTAGGTTGGCTTTTACTGTCTTTGCAAATTTACCAATATCATGTATTGCTAACTGTTTTTTTATTATGAGAATTAAAATATCAGCCTCAAATCATCTAATAACAGTAATCCTATACCAAGTTTATTATATTGTTGAAATGTTATTGATATTATACTCAAATCATCTAATAACAGTAATCCTATACCAAGTTTATTATATTGTTAAAATGTTATTGATATTATACTCATATCATCTAATAACAGTAATCCTATACCAAGTTTATTATATTGTTGAAATGTTATTTATATTATACTCAAATCATCTAATAACAGTAATCTTATACCAAGTTTATTATATTGTTGAAATGGTATTGATGTTATACTCAAATCATCTAATAACAGTAATCCTATGCCAAGTTTATTATATTGTTGAAATGTTATTGATGTTATACTCAAATCATCTAATAACAGTAATCCTATACCAAGTTTATTATATTGTTGAAATGTTATTTATATTATACTCAAATCATCTAATAACAGTAATCTTATACCAAGTTTATTATATTGTTGAAATGTTATTGATGTTATACTCAAATCATCTAATAACAGTAATCCTATGCCAAGTTTATTATATTGTTGAAATGTTATTGATGTTATACTCAAATCATCTAATAACAGTAATCCTATACCAAGTTTATTATATTGTTGAAATGTTATTGATATTATACTCAAATCATCTAATAACAGTAATCTTATACCAAGTTTATTATATTGTTGAAATGTTATTGATATTATACTCAAATCATCTAATAACAGTAATACTATACCAAGTTTATTATATTGTTGAAATGTTATTGATGTTATACTCAAATCATCTAATAACAGTAATCTTATACCAAGTTTATTATATTGTTGAAATGTTATTGATATTATACTCAAATCATCTAATAACAGTAATACTATACCAAGTTTATTATATTGTTGAAATGTTATTGATGTTATACTCAAATCATCTAATAACAGTAATCTTATACCAAGTTTATTATATTGTTGAAATGTTATTGATATTATACTCAAATCATCTAATAACAGTAATCCTATACCAAGTTTATTATATTGTTGAAATGTTATTGATGTTATACTCAAATCATCTAATAACAGTAATCCTATACCAAGTTTATTATATTGTTGAAATGTTATTGATGTTATACTCAAATCATCTAATAACAGTAATCCTATACCAAGTTTATTATATTGTTGAAAAGTTATTGATGTCCAATTACAGGAATCTTATGCTGAGTTTTTAGACAGTTTGTTAGAAAATAAACAACTTTTAACAAAGGTGGGTTTCATTTTATCTCATCTAACACAAAAAAATAATAAACAGGATTTTTAATGATTTTGATTCTTGCTAGACAAAATGGATATGTGAAGAGCGTCTAGATTGGACAATAAATCAAGGCCCTGTGTGCTACAGACTGTTCACATTAAAATACATCAACAGATTGAAACAGAAAAAGAGTAAAAATTTCCCTCATTGCACACTGCATTGCCTGTAATCATAAGCCCGTTATTCATTTCATTTCTGTCCCTTGTTAGTGCCCTAAGAAAAGAAAAAAATTTAATTTTTTGATTTTATTAATGATTTTTGTGATATTTAAATGATATTTAAATGATATTTGTGATATTTGAATGATTTTTGTGATATTTGAATGATATTTAAATGATATTTGTGATGTTTGAAAGATATTTGAATGATATTTGTGATATTTGAATGATATTTGTGATATTTGAATGATATTTGAATGATATTTGAATGGTATTTGTGATGTTTGAAAGATATTTGAATGATATTTAAATGATATTTGTGATATTTGAATGATATTTGTGATGTTTGAATGATATTTGTGATGTTTGAATGATATTTGTGATATTTGAATGATATTTGTGATGTTTGAATGATATTTGTGATATTTGAATATTTGTGATATTTGAATGATATTTGAATGG